TTCAGTAGTGCACTACCAGTGTCGCTGTGAGTATCTGGTTTGCGGTTGCTTGAAAGACTGGCCTGTAACTTTCGTTTACTTCCACTCTCTGCCCAGTGTCCAGTGTCAGTGTTTCAGAGGCTTGCTGCCGATCCTAGCTGTCTTGAGAGCACATTGGTTTAAACTTGGCTGCTCTGTTTCTGTTTTGCTGTCATCAACACAGGTAATGGTGTGGCCGTCACTTTATGGCGGCCTCTGCCCGCTGCCTTTGCTCACGTTCACTGGCAGGGTCCGAGGCACATGATCTGCAGGTGGACATGGCTGCACTTATCTGGGACCTTGTCTTGCCATTTTAAAATCATGCCTGTAATTGTAACTATTTAAACTAACCAAGTGGGTTGAAACTTTCTTGAGTTCACACTCATGTCCTACCAGTGAATAGAGCAGCCCTCTTTGTTCATGGAGCCATCTAGTTGGTTATGGAGGGGTCATCTCTTCCTGCCTCCAGATGTTGGGGCACACAGCCTAATGAAAAAGTACATTTGAGGGCCTGAAAGAAATCAGGCCAGCAATTTAGGAAACGTAGGCTGGTCTCTAGTGCCCCCAGCCTCCTGAAGTGTCCGCCTTCAGGCACGTCTTCACTGTGACCTTGATGCGCATGAGGAGAGTCATCGGGGCGGTGTGAGATGCTTAGGTGAGCCGCTTAGTGGAGTTCTGGTGACCTGGTGGATTCAGTTAACACACACCTCTGCATTGTCGCCGAAGAATGTCAGTTGCTCATGTGATTTGCTGCTTCAGTCTTAGCAGTTGGTCGTGGAGCTGGTTGTAATTCTGTGCCACTTCAGGTGTTGACTCTCATTTAATTTGACTGACTCAGACTATGGGAGCCATTCTCCTGGCTTCACTATCTTGGCATGATGGATCAGTGGTTGCTGTTGTAACTGGTTCTGTAATCATGACTCATAATGTTTGTGGACCAAACAACTCTGTGAGCAACTTCTAAATTTGCTGATGGTATTACATCTTTGGTTACACCATACGACCCAGGATTTTCAGATCCTAAGGATACGTACTTTACCTTGCTTGTAATCTGGGAGCAACCAGCCCATAGTATTGCACACAATGTGCTTTGGCCTGTCTACCACAGCCAAGGGCATTTGGCGCTTCTAATACTTTATTTCAAGTGTGTGCTCTCAGGGTTAGAGTGCCATTTGAAGTTTCTCTGTGTTGCAGGTTTTATCCTTCTCCACAGAGGAGTGGCAATGAGGAAATGTTCATTCAGTGCACTTCTCCTTACTCCCACCCTCCCCCTGCCTTCTTCCTAGTCTCTACAAGGTTTTCTCTATTGTGAAGTAATTACGCAGACCATAAAATATTTTTCTATTATAAATGATGTGCCAGGAAGGTTTGCCAGGAACAACATGAGCTTTGTTTTTGTATTTTTTTGCTGCAAATAATTACTTGATTTGATGTCATGCCACTGAATCAGCCAGATGATTATTATCTCTATATCCACAGTACTGATGGCATACTGGAATCTCTACCAACTTGTTAATTTGTGGCGAGGGAGCCGTCAGAAAACCGTTTGCAGGCTGTTTCATTCTGTATGAGTTCCCAACCATGACTAATTTGCTAGACCTCTTTAGATGCTTTGTTAGCCTTTTTTTTTTTAACTTTCACTAGACAACAAGGTCAAACAAAGGTGTCTTCCAAGGTGTGAAGACATTCTTCAAAGGTGAGAAAGGACATTCTGTCAGCCCATATGGTTTAAACATACTGAGATAGATGATTTAGATGCAGGCCAGCTTGGGCCTTACAGCAAGCAGTCCATATGGGTTCACCCAGTCACCATTCTTGAGATATAGGTGGTAAACTGGCTGACTTATTAAGTAGTTTATCATATGAATAAAAATTCATGTCCTATAACTCTGCATGGCTTTAATAATCAAATTATCAATCAGACATTTACTGTGAATTCTGATATGTCCTTGATGTCTTTATTTTTGGTAACATAATGAACATTATAAAATTCAAGAGTCTGCTTCTCTGGAAACTTTTTCTTAAAGATGAGCTCGTATGTTATGGTGGTAGTTTATTTATAATGCTTTTCTGAGGCAGAGTTGTCCAGATCTTCTCTAGTGCTTTAATTTTCAGGTTGGCATAGAAGAGTAGTCAAATAGTACTAATATTAGAGCCATGGAAGTTCCTTCCGGTTTAATCCACCGCAACGAACATGTCCCTTTACTGTCCCTTCAGGCACTGTTTGCTCATCCCTGATGTGGCATCTTTGCTGTGCTGTTATTTCAACTGAAACATTCTTTTGATGAATAACAAAAAAACTTCACCCTCGAAAGTCAATGTCAAGTTCTACTTCTCTCAGGAGTAGTTTTGTTTTTTCGTCTCTATTAAACTGTCCTCGAATTTTATATCATTTATAATCTATATCATATAATTTGATAGTTGATTATATAATATCTTTTGTCCTCTAATTTTTCAATTGTATATAGCTCATGCCCCAAATTATTCCTCTAGAACAGGCAATGTAAATTAAAATATATGTGTATGTATGTATATTTTGGTATTCCCCTGAAGCACTTAGGACCGTCTAGCCACAGAGTGATCTCACAGTCAGTGCCTATCGGCTCCTTCCTGCACCACAGATACTCACTGAGCTGTACTCTCTCCTTCCATAATTACGGTAGCTCACCATTGGAGTGTCTCCATGGGCCCCTACCCCATTTTTAAAGGGAAGAGTTTTGGTTCCTCTGGACAGGTAGTGCCAGGCCACACCATACCCCATTTTAGAGGCAAGGCTGAGGGCAAGAGTGGTGACATGGGTGCCCATGTCTGCCTCCTCTGAACAGCCCACTTCTGATCCAGGTTGGGGGACCAGGGGCAGTGTAGCCGGATCCGCCACCTGCAGGCACACATGAGGATAGAAGGCTGCCACTGTCCTCTCTGTGAAGGGGAAACCAGGCTAGAGGAAGACTAAGTTAGTAAAGATTCAACAACATAGTGTGGCGGTGTGATCTCCAGAAGAAGCAACACAGTAACTCAGCCAGGAGTCGGTGACCGTTTACGGTTTCCAGTGGGAGAGGGCAGGGCTCCTGAAACGGAAACAGACAGTGAGAAGAGAGGCGGGGGCCTGATGAGTGAAGCTTCCAGGGCATGGGGGCGGGGGGCCTGAGCCGAGGTTAGACTGCTCTCCCCTGGCTGAAGACAGCTGTATGTGTGAGGGCACGGCACACAGGCAGAGGGTGGCTCCCGGCTCTGCAGGGCGCCAGGAGGCTGCCGGCAAGCCTCTGTGTGCCAAGCCCTGCCGTAGCTCCTGAGCAGGCCGAGACCAAGATGTGGTCTTAGAAGCAGCCAGCGCTACAGAGGCCAAGCCTGTACACACAGTCTCGGGGAGCAGGAGGCTGAACTCAAGGGCCGCGAGCCCCAAGGAGGGAGAGCCCCGATCACAGCTGGTGTTTGGACATGCGTGCTCCTCCTCAACCCCAGGATCCACCCACCACCTCACAGTGCCAACATCCCAAGTCCCCCCAGGCAGCAGTGCTTCTGAGCAGCACTTGGGAGCCTGTCCGTTTCTTAGCCCGCAGTTTAGCAGTATCCAGCACACACTCACCTCTCCCCTTCTGATGCCCCTGAAGATGGCTTCTGGGCTAATCCCCAAAGGGACGGTTAGGAGGGCAGTCCCCAATACCCACATGATAACATTCAAAACACATTTGATACTAGTGGTAATACTAGTCAGCTCTAACACAGTGAATGACGGTTTATCTGTTGTTCTTTAACTTATACTCTTCATTAGTGTTCTGATTTGAAAAATACAAAATTAAAAATCTATTTGGTGTGGGGGGGCCACACCATTTAATGGCCACACCATTAAACAGGTCAATGGAAGAAGCTTGGGGAAGGTCCAAGGCCCCAGTGATATGAAATATCTCCCCCTCCTCTGCTCCCCAAAACTGTGTATGTCATAGTTGTAAAGAGCCTGCCTGCCAGCGCAGGAGACATAAGAGACACAGGTTCAATCTCTGGGTTGGGAGGATCCCCCGGAGAAGAGCATGGCAACCCACTCCAGTATCCTTGCCTGGAGAATCCCATGGACAGAGGAGCCTGAGAGACAGTTCATGTGGTTGTGAAGAGTCAGACATGACTAAGGGACTAATGCTTTCACTTTCACTTTCCCTGGGGCCTGTTCAGTCATCTGCTCCCCGAGACTATGTGTGCAGGCTTGGGGAGGGGGCAGCAATAGGGTCCCTGGGCGTGCAGCTGGACCTGGCCAGGCTTGCTCCTCACATTGTGAATGTGCATGCTGCTCCATCTTATGACCTGGCACTGATAAATGATACCTATAACTCTCTGGTGTTGAGATTTTCAGTCTTTGTTCAAAAACACCAGCTGCTTAGCTAATTCTCTTTTTGAAGAGTAATGATCTGAATACATTTTCTTTTTTAATCTTTATAGAGTAACTCTTAGTTCATTGGACACAAAGTCTAAAAAGCCATGTAACTGTACCAAATCCCAGTGTCTGAAATTGTAAGTAATCACAAATCCTTCATTATTAAATAGAAATAAGGTTGTTTAGAAGTCAGTAAGTGGAGCAGGGTCCAGACAAACATGAACGGCTAGTAGTGTATATGCTGCAGTTAAGACTCAACAGCCATGTCCTCCTGCTCCTTGTAAACCTGAGCGACAAGAAACAGCACTTTCTGCACAAGCCTGGTTGGGATCTTTCAGTATTATCTTGACCAACTAACTTAGTAAAAGACTCTGCCTGTGCAGAGTCTTGGATTTTGGCTTACATTCTCCAGCCCCTCCGACAAGTGCTAAACATGGCATCCTTGTTGAGCATTAACTGTAACATTTCCACGTCTTAGTTTTTTAAAGCTGGATGAATTGGTTTACTCTATATTGAATTCTTCTCAGAACATTTCTCCCCCAGGGATGCCAGCTCCCGTCAGGGGTGTGGTAGGGCAGGTTGTGAAGCAGCATCCCAGGCTGGGGTGGACTGTGTGGCTGGAATAGGAGGTGGACTGGTCACCATGACTGGTGGCACCATGCCCTTGAGCTCCTATCCCCACTTGTCATATGGAGATTCATTCATGCGATCTGTCTGCTCTCAGCTTCTGCCCTGAGTGCCCGCCTAACTTTAAGTTACGTGATGGAAGGGGAGAACACCGCCCTGTGCCGATGTCTAACAACCCTAACCACGATCTCCACATGATTTTTCCATTGCAGAGCTCCTGCTGAAGTCACTGAGAGCTTCATTGATGGGACAGTGATGTGGGGGTGCAGAAGTGGGTTAAAATCCAGAAGTCTGTGAAACTCGGTTCACAAAACAAAACTGAACAAACAAATTGATTTTTTAAGTTAATGTTAAAATCTAGGGTTGACTGTATGTGAATACTGAGTTGTCGTTGGTTTAGTCTGTGAATGCAAGTCCTATACCTCTCTGATCATTGGACACACCATGAGACTACTGATTAGTTCAGTTCAGTTCTGTCGCTGGAATGTGAAGTCAAGGGGGCTTTAGAAAGCATCACTACAACAAAGCTAGTGGATATGATGGAATTCCAGTTGAGCTATTTCACATCCTGAAAGATGATGCTGTGAAAGTGCTGCACTCAACATGCCAGCAAATTTGGAAAACTCAGCAGTGGCCACAGGACTGGAAAAGGTCAGTTTTCATTCCAATCCCTAAGAAAGGCAATCCCAAAGAATGCTCAAACTACTGCACAATTGCACTCATCTCACACGCTAGTAAAGTAATGCTCAAAATTCTCTAAGCCAGGCTTCAGCAATACATGAACCGTGAACTTCCAGATGTTCAAGCTGGTTTTAAAAAAGGCAGAGGAACCAGAGATCAAATTGCCAACATCTNGGGCTCCAAAATCACTGCAGATGGTGATTGCAGCCATGAAATTAAAAGATGCTTACTCCTTGGAAGGAGTTATGACCAACCTAGATAGCATATTAAAAAGCAGAGACATCACTTTGGCAATAAAGATCCATCTGGTCAAGGCTATGGTTTTTCCAGTGGTCATGTATGGATGTGACAGCTGGACTGTGAGGAAAGCTGAGCACCGAAAAATTGATGCTTTTGAACTATGGTGTTGGAGAAGACTCTTGAGACTACTGATCAGGAACTCTTAAAAATGCAGCTGGGTGAGGAGGAAGGAGGACAGAGGGAAAGGCCTGGACCATGTGACATTGTCAAGCCAGAGTGGCCAGCCCGGATGGAAGCTTCTGACGCGGTGGAGGATGAGGTGGTAGAGACTAGAGTGGACAGAGCTGGGGGTGAAGGGGTTCCTGTGGACAAGGGCTGCCATGCTGCCGGCTGGGTCGGCGACTGGCCTGCCCAAGCCGAGAGCAAGGTGTCCACTATGCCTGGGGACAGAACGAGGCAGCTCTTAAGGACTTGGAAATAAGATATCTCTAAGAAGGGTAACTTATTGATCACCTCATAGTGGAAAGGCCCAAGAAATAGCTTCTTGCCTAGAAGCAGCTTTCCAGATTAATCAGTGACTAACGTGCTAAAGAAAGATTTTATCATCACAAGGGGACTTGGTCAGCATTGGAACAAATGAGAAGGCGGTTCAGAGTGTTTGTGGTGCTGTCCCGGGAAGGGAGACACTGTGTCTGGGGGCTGCAGGGTCCGCCTCCTCCAGAGAAGTGTGGGTGCCATGTACAGGGGTTGTGTAGCCCTCCCCGTGTGCCTCTGTACCTCTAAATTCACACTCATCACCAGTGACTTCGCTTCCTCAGTAGCAGCATCCTGAGAAGCAGGGGGCCCTGAGTAAAGGCTGTGAACGTTAGGGGCACTGGAGGGGATGTTATTTCCACCAAAAATGAACACATGGCACTCTGAACAGTGCATCATCGTTTGGTTGGTGTCAATCTACCACTGAGAAACCAATTATCTCCAGGAATTACTGCTTTTGGCAAGGCTAGAAATGGGCATATTCAGCCCAGTGGACCTTGTCGGTGAGATCTGTGCCCTTGTGCTGGTGGCAACACCATTCTGGGTCTCTGTGTGCCACAGGTACCCACCCTGATGCCAGTCGGGGTGGATTCACCACTGTGGCTTGACTAGCAAGCATGGCATCTGCACCAGTTAGCTTTTTACTCCCCGCAGCTGTCTTGTTCAAAGCAATGGAATCTAATTTTCTTGGACTCCATTTGTCCTACGTTATTGGGAATCTCTCTTGGATAAATGTTAAGAGAGATTACTACTAATTGGCCATTAATAAAGAGAAAACCACATTATTGTATTTTTTAAAAATCAAAGTGATGCATACATGTGAGTAAAAATCAGTAACTATATCTGATTACAATGGAGAGAAATCCATCATAATCCCCATTCCTCCCCACTCTCCAGACTTCTCTCTGGAAGCCACCACTTCAATGACTTCTGTTTCCAGGCTTTTCAAACTTTGCTTCCATGTCTAGAAAGATCATCTACTGTCATCTTGCTGTGGGAGAGGAGGGGACACTCTACACTCAACCCCCTTGGCTAGAGCCACCACTTTCAGTTCCTTAGCTGTTTACCCTTGAAACTCAAAGTCGTATATTTCAAACTTTTGTTTTTATTGTTGTCCCAAAGTTTTAAAGTGTTTGTAGCCAGGGATTTGCCAGTATGCCAATGAACAAAGAATGAGTTTAGAATATATATCATCTCAAGTCTTTTCAAGCACTACAACTAAAATTCTAGGATATAACATACCTGCGGGAAGTGAATGTACAGATCATCATGGGTATTTTCTTGAAGAGTATTGTCACTTTCTTGTTAAGTGACAGAGTAAGACTACCCACAGAGGGTGGGAGTGTTGCTATCTGCCAGCACTGAAGCAGTCTGTACCTCGAGGACACTATCTTTAACAGCTGATGCCCTGGTGTTTCACAGCCAAGAGAGTGGCCACAAACCTCAAGTGAGGGCTGTAGGTATGGTTTCCTGGGCCATGGTGAGAGTGGGCTGAAGAAGGAGGACAATACAAACACCTCATACGAGAATACCTAGACTGTGGACAGCACTGGCAACACAGCATGAGCTCCTGGGAGCGAGGCATGCCCTGAAACACCACCGCCCACCCTCGTTCATCAACCTGCAGGCCGCTGGGCGTTCTTCCACTGAAGACGGGAACCCTTATGTCTGTCCCAGCCGACCCACCAAGCGGAGGAGCCTGAGACCAGAGAGGGCGACGCTTCGCCAACTCTCATCAGCTGTTACCAGTGGGGCAGATCAGTCTGAGCTTCCTAGGAGGAAAAGCGATTCTGCTCAGAGGGGAGCCCACAGAGGTAAAAGAAGGGAGTGGAATGTGGGTTGGGAGCCAAGGTGTATATCCTGGCCCTAGACGTGGGTTTTTGACCCTGTCTGACCCTCATTCTAACCCTGAGAGAGAGCACGTGTGCACGATTGTAAGTCTCATGGTGAGGAGGTCTTTCTTACTTCCAGTGTCCAGTGCAAGGTTGATGTCTACTGGGCACTTAATACACATGGCAGAAAATGAGTAGTGACTTTTGTTGAACAGAAGTTTTCAATTTAATATAGTCAAAATTATCAAATGTCTTTATTGTTGCTGCCTTTGTGTGCCTTGTTTAAGAAATCTGGCCATATCCCAAGGTTAAATAGATGTGCCATTAGACTATTTATAAATAGTTTTTATAAATATTTATAAATTGCTTTTTGTCATTGAGGCCTTAATGCACCTGGAATTGATTTTTGTAAATGGCATTAGGTAGGAATTAATTTTTTTTAGGAATTAATTTTTTATCATATGTACAGTTAATTTTCTAGCACCGTTTATTGCAAAACCCTAATATGGTCACCCACAATCTGCAATGCATTCCCTGTCAGCTGTCGGAGTTTGAAGTACACATGTGGGTCTGGTTCTGGGTTCTTAATCCTGCTCCTTTCATGGGTCCCACTTACTCAAAGTCGTATATTTCAAACTTTTGTTTTTATTGTTGTTCCAAAGTTTTAAAGTGTTTGTAGCCAGGGATTTGCCAGTATGCCAATGAACAAAGAATGAGTTTAGAATATATATCATCTCAAGTCTTTTCAAGCACTACAACTAAAATTCTAGGATATAACATACCTGCGGGAAGTGAATGTACAGATCATCATGGGTATTTTCTTGAAGAGTATTGTCACTTTCTTGTTAAGTGACAGAGTAAGACTACCCACAGAGGGTGGGAGTGTTGCTATCTGCCAGCACTGAAGCAGTCTGTACCTCGAGGACACTATCTTTAACAGCTGATGCCCTGGTGTTTCACAGCCAAGAGAGTGGCCACAAACCTCAAGTGAGGGCTGTAGGTATGGTTTCCTGGGCCATGGTGAGAGTGGGCTGAAGAAGGAGGACAATACAAACACCTCATACGAGAATACCTAGACTGTGGACAGCACTGGCAACACAGCATGAGCTCCTGGGAGCGAGGCATGCCCTGAAACACCACCGCCCACCCTCGTTCATCAACCTGCAGGCCGCTGGGCGTTCTTCCACTGAAGACGGGAACCCTTATGTCTGTCCCAGCCGACC